AAATAATTGTATGGTATAGGTTTACTGCGTACAACTGTTCTCACTATTTAAATTTATACGAGCTTTAAGTTTCTCGGGTAACTCAAAATCCACGGTGTATATATTCTGTGAGGTATCCTCTTTACCTAGACGTGATAGTCTTAATCCAAGCGGTAACTAAACTTTAACCTAATTCTCTTTCTTTATAGCCTAGGTGAAAACTTTTCTACAAATGATCTAGTCTAGTCTAAAAAATACGGAATTGTTGAAAAAGCTGCATAAGTTTTAAACTAGTTTTACGAAACACCATTTCTGTCTAGGGAATGAGATGCTCCAGAAAACAAAGCTATTCTTTATTTCAATCCTACAACTTTAAGTAAAATTTACAAACTTAATTAAGAAAAGATCTACGTATATCTGAGAGAAAGAGAGAGCGAGAGAGGATATGTCTTCAAACAGAAAACACAATTATTTTCCCTGACAGTAAAAAACTTATAACCGTTGTAGCTTTTAACCCTTGAAATGTGCGCTGTTAAATATTGATGCTGGCATGGTAACTTTACACTAATGGCATTCGATGATAATTCCAACTAGTCTTAAGTCCCAAAATAAGTTTTACCACAAATTGATTCTAACAGTTTCGGGGGTACATTTGGAAAGTAAATCTAACAGCGAACACCACAGTCTGATCGCAGCGATAGCGGCCAACTTTATGTGGAGTCTGTAAAAGTTACGGACACACTGGTTTGGAGAACGGCAAATAACGGTAATTTGTGTACATAATACACATAATATAATAGAGAAGGAAAGAAAAATATTGAATACGCTGGTTACTAAATTTCTTGGTGAGATAGTAAATAGATATCAAATAAAAAACATATACTGAGAAACTTTTTGTATTGATTAACAATAGCAATTTTTTTAATTCAATTTTATTTAGGTGGCGTACTTAACAGCAAAAGATAATTCAGCGACGCGTCAGAGACAACTGACTTCCAAACAACGTATCAACTTTTTTTTAAGTTTTTAACTTTTAACAAAACAAAAAAATATTTCGTCACTGAATCGTAATAATTCATTGTTACCTCGCTCTTGTTAAGTTCTAACACTAATTGAAAACTTAATTATAAACAAAAATTTATTGCAAAAATTAAGTTTAAAAACACCTAAGCCAAATGTACCCCTATTCATAGAAAAAAAAAGAATAAAACGCTGATGATGATAATTATATGCATCATCCCACCCTTTATTTGAAGGAAAAAAATAAAGTACTTTGTGTGTAATACCAATAAATAAATAATTAACCAACAAAAATAAGATTTATTTTGTTCTTTTTTGTCAAACTTAAACTCGAAAATCATTTATTCAGTCTAGACTGTTGACTGTTCCTTCACAAGCACTTGTGAAGGAAAAGAAACTACGCCATCGGTTCGCAAAACAACGGCGGGTGTCCTTCTACTGAGAAGAACGGGCAAGAAACAAAGCAAGAGCTGTTTTTCCCAGGTATTATCATATCAAAATTACGACTCTGTAAGTCGTCAAGTTGAAAAATCACTTCAAAGATACTTCGGAAGTCACCTCCCATTTCATCATTTAGAATATAGATATACAATTACAATAAATTTTATAGGTAACTTTATATTTTAAGTATATAGGACGCGGCATTAGATACCATGTTATTTATAATTTTTATTATTTTAAAACATGTAACTGCTTGATGTTTAAATCTAAAGAAAATATAACTAGAAAAAATTCCACGTGGACCAGGCAGCAGACGGGACTCGAGACCATGTTACTGTTATGAAAAATGACTAATTCTCATTAATTTCAAATTACAAGAAACACTATGTCCATGCGCTACAATCGTTTAGATAATTATCAACTTTATAATAGCTCTTACCAAAAGAGTATTCTTGATATGAGATTTAAATTTGGTCAGTGGAAGCTCAATCAGACCTTAGGGAATTTTATCAAACAGTGCAATACTACAACCCAGTAATTAACCTCTTGATTTTTGGAGTCTGGAACATGGAACGGCAAGCTTGTTCTTAAATGTGTTTAAGGTATGGGTTTGACGTTCAACATTCAAATCTTTACCACAAAACGACAACAGCGTTTAAATTACAAAAAAATTAATTATCATGATTTGAATAGTGGTATAGAATGCACAAATTGGGAAGAGGTGCTTTCCTCAAATGACGTCAATATTGATATTTATAGTTTTTATTTCAAGCTCAGGGAACTAATAGCTAGGCATACCCCTGTAATTAAGGGTAATGCTAATTCGTTTCCGTCCTAGTTTAGCTCAGGATTGAGACGCTGTTTAAGGGAGAAGCAGAAGTACGAGTATCATAAGTTGTTCAAAAAATATGAAAATCCACGTGATTATGATACCTTTTCGATGTTGCGTGCTAGATGTAAGAGACTTATCAATTCATATTCTAAGAGTTATTTATAATCAGTTGAGGAATCTTTGAATAAAGATACGAAATACTTTTGGAGTTTCGTTCACAATAAGAAGAAAACTTCGTGTGGTATTTCAAATACCATTATGTTTGATGGCCATGAATCATATCACATCTAATAGGAAGGGTATTTGTGATCCTTTTGCTACATATTTTAGCTCGGTGTACGCTGACTCGTCCAATAGTAATGCACAATTTCTTTTTTCTGCGGATGATGTGATGCAAAGTAATAATGTTATTAGTACAATTTACATAGTGAAAGCGATATACAATCTAAAATAAAAGGGACCTGGTGCGGATGGCAATCCTTCAGTATTATTGAAGCGATGTGTTAAGCCTATAAGTGTTTCTTTATGCATCTTGTTCAATAAATCTTTAAAAGCGGGTTTGTTTCCGCCTCTTTGGAAAACAGCACATGTTGTCCCGGTGTTTAAGTCTGGTGATAGATCACTTTGTTAATATTATCGTCCTATAAGTATTATATAGTCTTGCTGTGCGAAACTGATCGAAAGTTGTATATATGATGCTTTGTATATCACTTCAAACCAATTTTTTCACCAAAACAACATGGTTTCTTATAAGGTAAGTCAACAACATCAAATCTTTTGGAATATAAAAAAATATTTATGCGATGCTTTCTCTAAGTGAGCACAAGTAGATTCCATTTATACCGACTTCTCAAAGGCTTTCGACAGAGTTGATCATTCCCTGCTCTGCCGGAAGCTGGAATCACCCGGTGTCCTTGGAAGTTTGTTAAGATGGGTTAAATGTTATTTAAGTAGGAGAAGTGAACTAGTTGTTATAAAAGGTGAGCTTTTTTCAGCATTTGCAGTTCCGTCTGGTGCACCTCAAGGTTCACACTTAGGGCCTCTTCTGTTCATAGTGTTTGTCAACGATCTCATTAGTCGATTATGATTTCTCAGTCTAGTATATGCCGATGATTTAAAGCTCTACAGTACAATAACATGCATCAGTGATGGAATGAGTCTTCAAAGAGATCTAGATGTTTTATCCCAATGGTCTCAGGACAAACGCATATCATTGAATGTTAGAAAAAGGTTTTGTGATTACGTTCACCAAAAAGAAGAATGCTGAAAATCCGATTATACTTTAGCAATATTTTTTTTATCTCGAAAATATATAATCAGAGATCTAGGAGTGACGTTTGACAGTGATTTATCTGCCACTATGATCACATTGTAAAAAAATAATCTCAAATATTGGGTTTCATGTGCAGAAACACTAAATCTTCTAAAAAGATCTCATCGTATTTAATACTATATTATGCACTTTTACGTAGTTTGCTGGAATACAATATGACCCTTTTTGGAAAAAGGTTTTAAATGGTTAATAAATGTTCTATTAGACCGAAAAAAAATGTATTGTATTTTTTTGAGACCTAGAAAGATACAAATCTTTAATTTTAAAATAGACTTTTCATGGATATACAAAAACGCTGTCGGCCATTTTAGTCTATAGATTATCTATGCTATGACATTGACGGTAGTAAACAAAAACTCGTAAGCACTAATCTGAGTTTAGAATAATAAAAAAACATGATTTCTAATAGATACGACGAAAAATATAGTAATTATCATTATTGTATTGTACGAGAATGTAAAAACACATCCTTGAAGACTCCAGGAAAGTTGTGGATTAAAGTGCCGAAAGAAATTAACCTACGCAATACCTGGTTAGAACTTGCTAAAGGTGATCCTGCAACTTTATCGACTCATAGTAAAATTTATTTTTGCGAAGATCACTTTGATGTAAGTACTCATTGAATAATATTTTAAGTCTCTTCATTTATTTTCAGTTTTAATAATACAAGTTTTAAATATTTGTTTCTTAGGTTTTCACGCACATCACTCATTAAATAAAACTAGTTTTTACGGGTTAATGCACAAAACTTTACAGGCTACAAAACGTCAATAAATAAATAATCCCGTAAAAACTAGTTTTAATTAACAAGTTTTAAAGTTATGTATGAATGACATTTTAGTTGTTTACTAAAAGAGACGACACAATCATGGCGGAGGTGGCGAACAGCGTTTTTAGTGTTTAAAAAGTATAGACTAAAAATTATTTTTTTAAATTAAATTTATACAGCAATCTTCTGCTTTTATGAAGTGAAATCGATATATTTAGGTTCCTTAGACCAAATACTTTAAGAAATAAACATTTATTTCATACAATTCGACATGAGTCAACTAGCCTATTTCGTAATTTTGTCACAGTATTACATGGTACTTAAAAACAGACTCGAACAAATACAAAAGCGTTTTGTGAAATTAGTCTGTTTAAGATTTAATTTACTTTGCTCTAACCCAACTTATGAAGACAGATTGTTGAAACTTGGTATGCAGTCATTGATATTTCATAGGAAATATTTAGATGAAATGACTGCATAAAATTATTCACTCTCAATTAGATTCTCCCTACCTGCTATCACATATTAGTTTTAATATTAATTATCGCTTTAGAAAGCCTATGACATTTTTTCTTCCTCTATATCTCAATAAAACTTCTTATTATAACCCTGTATCACGTATGTGTCGCCAATATAATGAACTCGTCGTTAATGGAGCAGAAAAAGATGTATTTGATCGTAGATCTTCAGTATTTAAGAAGAATCTAATTGCTAATTTGTAACTTTTGTATTTATTTTAACTATTGCTAGTAATAAATTTAAAAACAAATAAAAAATATAATGTGATATGGCTATAACTTAGCATGTCAAGCACTCTGTTATTATTATTTAGTCACTCAGTATGTACATATTAAAGGTTACATCCTTGTTTTTTGTGTGATAATGAAGATAATTTTGAACTGAATGTTTGTCACCTGTTTGTACATCAAATAAATAAAAAAATAAAAAATGAGTCATTGTTTTTTATTACATAATATTAAATTTTGTATTGCGATGCCAGTCCTGACCAAAGTAGCAAAAATACGCTTGTCGATCGTTATGCGAGTATGTCACGCAGACACAACTTCGGCGCTAGCCGCCAACTGTTATTTTCACAGAGTCTGACTTTTTGACAATAAAGCAATTTGGTTCGCACTGGAAGCGTGTGTACCGCTCCATGTGAAAAAATAATGAATTGATAGTTTTCGAAATTGTTTTTGTTCCCACTTATCGGCGTGGAGCAGGAATTTGAATACTGCACATAAGCTTCTTCTAAAAAGATTAACTATTTGTTGCAAAATAAAAATATTTCGTACAATGCAAAAGGAATAAATAATAATAATTTCCATTTATGAACTGCTATCTACTATCGACAGCCACCAGTCGAATTTCGTCTAATCAACGTAACAAAATATACAAACAATGCTGATGCATAGCATGATGACAATTCGTTTTTGAAAAGTGTTGCCTATAATTGTTACATTACGCATAAGTAACAACGAATAAATTGTTATTCAAATTAGTGTCACACATGCGTGTTGCTTGACTGAATTGGGCCAAAGGTTATCAAACAATTATTAATATCATATCATCGATGCAATATCTTTTATTTAGCAGGCCAACTGTTTATTGGAGCCTTTTCAAAAACAATAATGGAAGCCACCCGAAGTGTGTCAAATCTGTCGTCAAAATAATGTCGAGTCGATTTCGAAAATTTATATTGTATGTGGCATGTCAATTCTTTAACAATCTCGCTATGGAATTTCGATTATTAGATTTTTTGACAATTGTTTAAATGCCTGTGGCTGGCTGTTTTATTAGCATTCACTGCAAAATTTTGCCATGTCACGACATAATGAATATTTAACTCCAATATCAAAGCCGTCGAACTTGGATATTTTTAAGCAAGCTTGGATATTTGGTTAGATTTTATTTTACAGAGTCGCCTCGCACAGTTAAATAAACTTGTTAAAAACCTTTACTTTATTTTTTTGGTAATATGAAGACTTGTAACTGTCTAAAAAAGTACATTTTCACTTTTAAGCAAACGCTTTAAGAAATTCTTCCGTCATAGTATCTTCAATATTCTATGTACCTCATCATTTTTAAAGAGCAGTTTAACATAAAAAAAGGAATAACACACAGATAAAGTCTAAGAAATATATTTAATTTAATAATCAGACACCATTCTTTGAATACATATAGGTACTTACTATTCAAAGTTACAAAAAAATGAACACACTAATCAGTACGAAAAATTGTGAGGCGGATTCTTGCGCGGGTCGTAGTTTGGCCCCATATTATTATTACTGGGATAATAGAATTGATTATCTGAAGTACTTGGAGGACGATTTGGAATATTTGGGTTATATGGATTGGGCGAATGGCCTGGGAATTGATTTGGGTCAGATGGTCTTGTATTAGGATAATTCGAGTTGTAGCTGGGATAATTCGATGGAGGCTGGTTTGGATGTGGATTATAACCTTGATTATGTTGTTGTCCGTAAGGTTGGTAGCCGTTAGGACTTTGATTAGGTACATTTGTTGGATAATTTGAGGAGTTCTGATTATAATAACTTGATGCTGTAGTTTGATACGAATTAGGATTGTAACCAGGATAAGTGGGATTCAAATTTGTGGGTTGGCCAAAAGGTTGGTTGGGATTATATGGCGTAATTGGTCGTGATGGGTTGAAATTTGGTTGATATGAGGGATATGTGTTATTATAGGTAGGGTATTGGCTGTTAGGTTGATTATGGGGTATTGCGTTAGGGTTATATGAAGGGTATCCTGGTCTTGGTGTACTATATCCCGGATAATTATTGTGCTGACTATTATTGTAACTTGGATAAGGTGAAACATTATTATGGGAAGGATATGGAGGAGTTCGTGGTGTGGTGTAGTAGTAAGGTGTACTACTGTATGGATGTTGTGGGCTTGAGGTCTGAGCTGGATAATAAGGTCTGGTATTGTTGAATTGTCCATAATAATTGGTTTGTTGATTCGGATAATTGGTTGGTGTATTAGAAGGATAGGTTTGTGCGTTTCCTGGGTATGGAGAATAGTTAGTGTTGGGATAAGATGGATTGTAACCATTATAGGAAGCACCCGTGTGTGTATTATTGCTAGGTAAATGTTGCCATTGTTGATAGCTGCTCGGGTTCTGACTGTTATACGGAGAACTTGGCAATGATGGATGAATATTATTGTTATACGGACTAGGCTGCAGGTTCGGGTATAAATGCGATGATGTCTTCACATTCACGTCTCTTATCACACGATTTTTTGCACTAATCGTTGTCTTGCCATCCTTATTGATCTTGATATCTTTAAGTAAACTAAACGTTGTCTCAAACGAGTTATCATTCACAGATGTCTTCTTTTCCGCTCCAAACTTATCATTGTAGTGCACTTCATCGGGACTCACGATGTTGTTTATGCTCACTTTTGTCGAAAATTTACCATTTTTCTGTAGTGTTAATTGTGAACAAAATGTCTCACTAGTTAACCCGACTATAATAGTAAGGGAAAACACGTATCGCGCGAACACAAACATGTTAGCGATTAAATTTGTTACTTAAATGGATTCCCTTGAATATGTTACAGATAATCTTTGAACTGTACTATCGTATTAACATGTGAATTTATTGTTTGTTTATTCCAAATGTTCATTAAAAGCAAACCTTACGTTGATATATTTAAGAACTAATATTGATCACAATATTTAAAAATGTAAATTCTTATAGTTCATTTATTCATGGTACAATTAACAACAAAAATACTGAGCATTTATACTTCATCTGTAAACTAGATTTATGCTTTAATTATTGCACGAGGAGCAGCAAGGTGTTTCCGTCGTAACTATTAAGTAATTTGTGGCATTTCCTCTTGTAACTAATTAGGTCAAAAATATTAATTTATTGAAATTTATTATTTATTTGATGGGAATTTCCGTAGGTCAAAAACAAACACAGATTATGTTTTAATTTGAATATAAAAATATATTTATCGACAAGTAAGTAACTAGTGTACTTAGTTTTAATGTTTCATTATTCATTTCATTTTATTTCATACACACGCATTCTTTTGATCAATTAAAGTTTTGCATATATATGTATAGATGGTTAGTATTTTGCGCACCTTACAGGTCCTGCCAGAATACCTGCGTTGTTGTTACACGCCTAGCAGCGAGCGGCAACAACATTATGATAATCCCTTTTGACTATTTTACAACAATTTATTATTTTTAAATTATTTTAACATTTTTGTTTGCTTTTAATTATTGTAATGTGTTTTCGTTATTGTAATATTTCTGTTTTAATTAATCAATAAAATGTTTCTCTGTCTCTCTCTCCGATCAAACAGCATCTTTTAGGACCATCCTACTTGACTTGTCTAAATGAGCATAATTATATAATTAATATGTAAAGATAATATAATAATATTAGACTGATTCTAATCCCGTCTAGTTGGTAGTGGAGAGGATTCAAAAGTTTAGCTTTTAATACCAAGTGAAATTTATTTTTAATGACTTCTTTGTTTTTTATACAAACATATTTTTTTGTTAACCGTCATTTGATGACGTCATTGCGGTTGGGTCAAAGTGGATATTTACCGCAAGGTGTTATTATTTCGTTACGCTACAAGGACTTGACTACAGGATGATTGTGTCAACTGGAGCGTGTGACGAGCTCCATTGTCCAAGCGCGTCTGCTCAAAGTGAACATGCTTTATATAGCGTTCGAGTTGTGTGACGGTAAGTATATATTTCAAGAATAGAATCGTGTTCATTTCATGGAAGTGTGTCTTTGGGTATTAGTTTTCCTAACTGTGGCTTAAAGGTAGATTGTTGACTTTTTTTATTGGCACTAAGTTCCTTTTTCAGATGGTTTGGGCGGATGGGGGCAATGTGACAAAAACCGGCCTAGTACGAATCGTGCCACGCGCAGTGTAGGGTTCCCTAGATATTTTATTGTGGGTTTTTTAGTGCAAATTTGACACTTTATAAACAATTGATTACTTCTGGTCTGAAGTTGCTTTTAATGTAAAACGACGCCCTACTCGAACAAAAATTGGCACTTTATAGTTTAATATTTCTCAAACGGATCTCTAAATCGATAAAAAGTCTTAGTAAGTATTTTCAAAAACCCGTAAGTAATTTTAAAGGGCCTATTCAACGATACCCTACAAGATGGGGTAGACATGAATAAAAATCATCCCCAATTTACATGTAGGGGAGCAACCCTAAAAAAATATATCACAATGTTATTCTACAACTTTGTGGGCGTGATTGATATACCTCCACAAAATTACAGCTCTCTAGGGCCAACAATCTACAAGCAAAACCTAGGACGGACAGACAGACGGAAATGACGAAACTATATGGGGTCCTTGTCAGGAATACGTAACCTTAAAAGAGTTTTTTCGTTTTTTCCGTTTCAGCGGAATTGTCAGAATTATAATATGTATGCTATTTTGGCAGAAAATTTTAGTCTTCACGAAATTTTGTTATTCTATAGTAGTTTCCGTTCTGTCTATGGTAGTTTTTTCGTCCTTGGTACTTTTTAACTTCCTTTCAACCGAGTGTTTTACGACACTAACGTTTTTTATTTATTTATTAAAAGAGGCGTGAAGAAGCAACATGCAGGCCGGCAGGGTGAGGATGGATGGTGTGGCAGGTAGAACTGCTGTATCAGCTATCTTCGCGTCTGGACTTCACCTTCACTTAACATCATCAGGTGGGGTGGAGTCATTTGTCGGACCTATCTATATAAATATATATATTTATGATTATTATTAATTTTCCAAATTTTTAACGTGTACGATTAAACGGAACCCACCACGCCAGTTTAATTTTTCGATTATCGTGATGTTGTCTGATATGTCAGGGTGGCAGAGCAATAAAGACTCATTATCTCTATAATAATTGAAAGGTAATAAATATACTTATTTACGATTATTTAGTTACTTTAGCTAAAGAAAGATTCGCGATAAAACGAGATCACTATTACAGTGAAGCAGGAACATTAACTGTGTGCGCCCTTTCAACATTATTAAGAATTCAGTACTCGCGGCATACGAATCGTAAAATAGAAGTTATTTGCGTACCGCTATGGGAGGACACTAAAATGTTTTGCGTTACGGTTTACGCTGTTTTCGGGTATCTTTTCGCCGTAAATATTTCATGGCAATACGTCAAAAGTACACAAGTACTATCGGAGCCGATGGTAACTCAGTTGGTATTGCATTGAAAAAGCGTCTTATCTGTTCAATATAAGGTCGTGATTCGATCTAATGATGCAGTTTGTGATTTGCTATTTTTTTCACATCGAATAGGTTCTGGTATAGGTTTTTTTATTGCGAACACAAGAAGTGCATGATATATGGCACAGTTTATTGTCTCGACCGATATGCGTAGAATTATTTTTCCACAAATGATTTGATGCTTCGACGCAGTATGTTTTGCCGGAAAACTTTTGATTTCGTATCGAATACCTACAACTATTCAGATTAATACGATTCGTGGAAGAGATTTCTTTTGATCTATAACGTGTGTTGTAAGTTTTTGAAGTGACCTTCTTTACGCACCCTTGACTTGGGAGATAAGCTGGCGAATGCGGTACGCGTTACAAAAAGTGTGTTCGGGCGAGGCGAACGAGAGTTGAGTGGGGGATATAAGCAAGAGAAAGCAGTGCGCGCGCACATTTTCTTTGTCTCTTACCTAGTAAATGAAATATGCATATATACATACATGTATATGTATACAATGTACCCACATATAAATATATATACATACAGATAGAACTAAAAAAGTTTTTCTTGAGTCGTATGGTCATAAGCACATTCGTTTTTTTTTTGTGTGAGTTGTTTGTAATAATCTTCTTATCACTTCACTTGGTGATTAGTGTTTACAACAAAAAGCAAACACGAATAGACAAGTTTAGTGCCGGCATTAAAGTTTAAAAGCTATCAAAACTGTTATCAGTTTAAGTTAAAAAAAAATCAGGGAGTTTTATCATATCATTTCTTTCTTTCTTACTAAATATAGAATTCGGTTGCCTTTTGTCTCGATTCAATGGATGGCAGTATGAAAACGGGCGTAGTAGTAAAAACATACTGATAACATTAGTGTAACTTTCTGAAATACAATAACATCATCATCATCAGCCTATTAATGTCCCCACTGCTGGGGCACATGTCTTCCCTATGAATTGGGCCATGACCCACCACGCGGGCCCGGTGCGGATTGGTGGGTGCTAACGACTGCAGATGCAGCCGGGACCAACGGCTTAACGTGCCTTCCGAAGCACTGAGGAGCTCCAGATAGTAAACTTTTGGTCACCCATCCAATGACCGACCACTGCGAAAGTTGCATAACTTCAACGACCGCAGCCAAACGCGCTAACTACTTGCGACATCGAGCTCCTCAAAAAATAAAAACAATATAAAACGAAATACAATATAAAACGTAATAACCATACTTTCGCTGGATAAAAGTACCTACCAGAGTTACGTTGCCCAGCCCCAGTAGCATGAGCACTACAATTTACATTATAATACGTTTTTTATCGCGTCTAACTGTCAAACTCCATATTAATTTGAAAATTGAGCGAAATTAAAATGTGTTATATATCATATCACGGTGCTCATTTTAGGGGGGCGGGTCTCCCTTCCGCAGTCTTAGTGTCGCCGCACACGGGCCATACGCCACAGCTACAAACGCCGCCACGAGAAGCTAGAAGCGGCTACTAAAGTGGCTGAAGCTGCGACAGCGGCCGACTAGGGTAAGGGAGAGAGGGCTGGGGAATCGCGCGAGTGACGTGTGGCGGCGTTTTGTATCGGCGCATTAAGTGGCCGGTGCGGGCCACAAGCAACGACGATTTGGAGCGTGTGGCGGCCACCGGCGTACCGTGTGTGGCGAGTCCATATAAAATGAATGAAAACTACAAGAAATATGCCGGTAGCGGCGTTTTGTGGTTGTAGCCGGTGGCCCGTGTGCGGCGACACTTACAGTACCCTAGTATATATATATAAAAACCGGACAAGTGCTTGCCGGACTCTTTTGCGCACCGAGAGTTTTGTACAAAGTAGGCATGCAACATGAACGGCCGTGTCTTTTATTTACGTTAACTTAGAAGTGTAGTTTTTTGACTGCTTCTAGGGACCAAAGACTTAAAGGGTCCTGACAGACAGACAGATAAATGGCCGTATCTTTTTTTAAGTTAAATTGAAAGTTTTATTTTTTCACAGCTTCAAAGTACCGTAGACCTGAGTAGGTATATAGTGTAAATTTCAAATCCATACCTCAACGCGTTCCCGATATAAAGGGTTGGGTTGACAGACAGACAGATAGACGGGCGGACAAACGGACAGACAGACGTAAAGACGGACAACAAAGTGATCTTATAAGGTTCCATTTTGCTTTTGAGCAGTACCTCAATCTTGAAATAAACTACATTTGAAGCCACGTTGCTATTGGTACATAAACATATACCTATTTCTATATATTTTATTGATAGTGAAGCTCATTAACTCAAGCGTAGCAAATACAAATATTTTTTCAGCAACAAAACTTTGCAAGCATATCTACAGAAATTATTTTCTACAACGTTTACAATACAATACAATACAATACAAAAACTCTTTACTAA